TATATTCCATAGGGACCTATAAACGATCCTTCTGCACGCAAGAAACGAAGAATGGAAACCGTCGATTTTAGGGAAAATAGGTTGAGCAGCGTGTCCTTTGCCAACTGCAGTGCACAGGTTTTATGCAGAGTAATGATGACGTTAGCCGTAAGATTGGCAGAGCGATTAAAAAAGAGCTAACGTCTCTCTCTCTCTCTTTCTCTCTACTCATCCTTCTACTACCTTGTTATTCTTTTTTTCTGTTCATCTTATTCATTACCATTGACAATGCAATTGCGTCAACGAGTGCGTCTCGTGATAAAAACTTTTCCACGCTGGTTTCTGTCCACGTGACAGATATTCATTAAAAAAGAAGCAGGACAGCGTGGGTGGGAATTGTACTGCAACGTGATAAAACGGAACAAATCCCCGGTTAAGATTCTATTTTTAGACGAAGAAATTTCCTTCGCACCTTCGGTCGCGTTTCAATTTTCTCGCAATCTAACGCGCTTTGGCCGTTCCGTTCCTTCGAATCTGATTCCTGGTATAATAGAATATTTCTAGACAGGAGTATATTTCCTCGCAGGGCTTTCTGCATTCGTAATCGTATAATCTCTATCTGTAACCATCTCTCTTATTCGAGTGACTCGCGCGCTATATCTGCTACGACTTCCGTCGTTTTCCGGCATTCCGATGGATCTCGTTTGGCACAGATAATCGAATTATCTCTTCGGTTACCTGCAGGAATTTCCAATTTTTCATGGGATGGATATTCCACGTTCGCAAAGGAACATCTACCGAATGTCGTATATAACGATTTAGTTTCAATAGGCTGTGGATTTTTATGCAAATTCATATTTTCCTGGATACAATTAAGATTAGAATAGGATCCAGAAATTTTCCTCACCCATTAAGTGTCGTAAAAAATACTACACTTTGGACAGTATATATATTTTTGCATATACCGCAGGTTACATGTTTATTTATAGGCTACAGGTCCTAGATTTTACGTTCATGGCTCAAGATTAACTTACATCTAAGACAATTGATTGAATCCAAAAATTACTATGTGCGAATGGAGAAGTATATATATACTACATATTATATCTTTAAATTTGTCATAATTGCATAAAAACCGCGGTCTAATTATTATTTATACGTAATTATTCTATTGCCATCTGTTGTTGTCTATATATTATCCGTGTAACATTATGGAATGCAATCTGAAGATGAGGAAAGTTCCACAGAAATTTTTGTAATAACTCATAGAGTAACAAAGATTATGTTAAACATACGTTTACATCACCGAGGTATTCGTTTCTCTTCAACTCTTTATTCGAACACTATCAGGTGTTGTAAAAATCACTTTGCTAAATGTGAATTGGCCGGTGTTAGATCAAAAAGCAAACAACGAAACGCTGCGAACGATCTGGCGCCCGTGATCGTTATTGTGAACGTGGTTTAGGCGTTTTTGTTAATTGGCACGGAGAACCGGAGTCGTAGTAGCTCGTTTTAGTAAATTGAACCGAGCCGATTCCCCGCCAAGTGCGACTCCTGCTCGATCGTTCGCCAAGCGCGATTAAACGCGAATGCAAACGGTTCTGGCCAAGTGTACTCGAAATCTGGTTCACGGATTTCTATGAGAGAGCGTTAGAATCGCTGTTAGGTTGATCAGATTGATGCCATTCGAACCGATCGCGATGGCACGTAAAGATCTCGTGACGATCGATACGACGTCCTATCCAAGAGTATAGATACACTTTGATTCCTCGAATTTCCTTGTGTTATCAGTTTCAATGGACCACCTAGCGAAGGTTAAAGAAGATAGGATCAAATGTTCTTTCTAAAGATCACTGACTGAATATAAAATAATTCGTATTTGTAAATTTACAAATTGGGGTATCGATCGGTATGTTTAAGTAAATCGTTAATAAATTTGTCCATCGATTTCCTCAGAATCGTTCCTCACCTGACCCATAGCATAGCATAGCTAAAAAGACAGTGAAGTTAACATTAAACTATCCTAAAAATAAGTAGCTTTAAAGTATCTAAAAGTCCCACAAAGTTTAACATCTATATACATCAAGTTTGTTGTTACATACAAATTTGTAAATATTATTTTACCGCATCTAAAATTTCGTAATTATGTTATCCCAATTTAATCTTACACACGCATTAGTCCGATTAACAATTCCAAGATACAAGACAATCAAATACCCAAACAATACATCTACGCAGTAAAGCACGTGTCAATCCTCAGGACATGTGCAATTTCCGACATCACAATCCATTTTAATTAATTATACAAAAGTGAATGTTCCAACTGTCTAAACATTCGCATTTATAAAATCATCGAGCGATTCTACCCTCGTAAACTAAGCTAAACTAAGCTAAACTAAGCTAAACCTGCATCTTCCTCAAATTTGAAGCAGAAACTATCTAAACAGCGAAACCCTTCTGGACGTCGACCTAACGAACAATATCAGTAATCTTGACACCGGATTCGCGGAATGTAGCCGGTCGAACGTGATAATCCAGCGAGAAGCACGTGATCCAGGTGGATCGGTGTGCAGGTCGCCTCGGCAATCTCCGGTAATGATCAGTTTCCATGGTGACCAAGGGGTGCAGGGTGCCGCCTCGCCCTTTTTCCTTGCAGACCAACTGGCTTGGCTGGTCGAGCGCAGGAGCGTCGCGACGCTGCCGCTGCAACAACGCCGACGCCTGCAGGATGAAACATTAAGGTTGCGTTTGCGCCGATGCGCCCTGCCTTGAACTACTTCAAGGAAGGATACGCGATGGATGGATTTCCGCAAAACGCCGTGTACGGCGCGACCTTTCGTCCTGATATCGCTTCTATCTTTTAGACTTTTAGCATCGTGATCGGCTATTTTTAATTTCTATTCTTTTTCTCTTTATTTTAGTATTTTCTTTTTATTTTTGGTACTTGATGGCGGAGAAACTGGCCCAAGGATTGCACGGTCTGACCTTTTGTCCTGACGTTGCTTCTACTTCTCAGGTCTCTAACCTTTCGATCTAACGTGATTTTTATTCTCCTATTCTTCTCTTTTTTTATCTCAGTTTTTTATTTCTTTTCTCGTTTTAGAAGTTTGGGTGATGGATGGCGCGGAACAAAAGTTGTTCCAAGAATGGAGATTACCTGTCTTTATCTTTGTCACTTTTATATTTTAAGCTCTTCTCTTTAGAATTTTTCCCTTTCCGGCCTTTTCTTTTTGATTTCATTCTTCTCTTCTTTTATCTTAGTACCTCGAATGATGAATAATACGAGATGGAGGTACTCGAAGAACAGAGGTTAACACTGACTTTTCATCGTCGTATTGCTTTCATCTTTCGAACTTTTATCCTCGCAATCACATTTTTTTCTATTATTTTCTTTCTATTTTGATACTTTGGATGATAGATGGTATGGAGAGAAAGCTGTTCCAGGAACAGGTACTGCACAGATTGACCTTTTGTCCTCAGGTCGCTTTTATTTTTTAGCTTTTACCGTTTTCCCCTTCCTCTCTTCCCTCTTTTTCTTTTCGTACTTTGGATGGCGCTTAATGCGAAACGAAGTTACCCTGCGAGCTGTTCAAAGTTGAATCACTATAGGCTTTTACACTTAGCTTCTTTTATTTATTCCTGCCCTTTGTTTCAATATTTTCAAAGATGAATGATATAAGAAAAAATTGTCGAGAAGCTGTTCAGAAATTGAATGTTCCTTTCCTTTTCATTCTTTTTTTACCTTGATATTTTGTACGACGAGTGATGTGACATTTGAAATTTGGAAGTTTAGGAATTTTTAGGCATCCCAAGCCAATTGCATACGTTTGGATGCTCTTTCGCCAGTTTCTTAGGCGTCCTTCTATTCATCTTGAAAAATTATCAATTTTTATGACTGACAGTGTCGACATTCGTCAAATCTTCTTCTTCGAATTCTCTTCCCTTCAGGTTCTTTCATCTTTCTTTTCGCCGCTTCTTTCTCAGATTTGATCTAAACCCTTTCAGGTGATTCGTCGTTCGTTAGGCTCGATTGATGGCGGAAAATCGACGCGGATAAATAATACTTCTGGAATAATAACGAGCCCGGAAATTCAATTCCTTTCGCTCGCTAATTGCATCGACGTAGATCTGGGTCACCTTTCGCCCACGCCACCTTCTTTTCTTCCGTCATCCGATTATACGGAGACAAAGGACACCGTCCAGAGAAAACACAATTGCGTTTCCAGGCAAACACTCCAGTTGTAGCTACCCTCTGCCCTTCGTTTCTTTGATTTCCCGAGAATTTCTCGAATTTATCGAGCATGGAGAATGAAAATTGTAATTTTAGTGGAACAACGTTTTCTTAAACGTTTGGACACGCTTTACGGCTAGAGAAAGATGGATATCGTGAATTTTGAGAGACTACAGTTCCTACAAATGATTGAAATTTTTTACAATTATTATCCGTAATAACAATCCCCATTCAATAATCACCGAAATTCTTACACAGAAATTATCGCCAAACGATTCCAAAATTCCGAGTACCAAATTTTTCTTCCATAAAACGAACGTGCATCTTCGAACATTCATCCATTAAACTTCTTCCGACTTTAAGTTGCCCACTTTTCGTATAAAGAATTCCAAACTCACTGCCAAATTTCCTGCAATTACAACAACGATCCGAAGATTCTTTTCAACAACCATCTCCTATCTTCGCAAACTCTGTACTATAAAAAACTTTACTGCTGCTAACTAATTTCCATCTGTCTGCGCCATGTACATATACATATATAGATACACATATTCCAAATATAGCAGTGGTGGTACAGTAGGGTAATCGACCAAGTCCAACCTTTCGACTATTCGACAGTCGTTCAAGAGGGCAAATATATAGGTTTCGCGAAGTTTGGAGAGCAGTTACGAGTCTGCTCGTTAACGGATTAACCGTATCGCTTTTCGCGAGTTTTATCATTCTCGCCCGGAGAGTTGCCGTGTCTCGTCGAACGTCGAATTAACGGGAATCTGTGTTTGAAATGTTTCAGGGGTGCCTTCTCGGTGGTTCGACGATGCGTTCAGAAGAGCACCGGTCACGAATTCGCCGCGAAGATTATAAACACGAAAAAGCTGACGGCAAGAGGTAAGCTCGAAGAAAATTCTCCGTTTTAACCGTAACGACGACGACGAAAGACGATAATTAATATCGTAGATGAATATGTTAATGAAGTGGCTGGAAAGTTTCGAGAGTTTCGCAATGAAGTTCAATACAAGAACATTAGCATTTAAAATACATAGGGGTATTAGGCGAAACGACTACGCTTCATGGACTTTGATGAGGCTACGTTACCATGAAAATGGTCCTCGCAAGTTTCACGCGAAAATACGAAACGCTTGGAACGAGTTCTATGGAATAGTTTATCAATTCGCGGCATAAATTCGGCTGCGAATTTGTTCTTTTTAAGGCTATGCTCGTGCAGTTTGCGGCGTATGTCTTCTTCCATTTGAAAGGACATTTGGTTAAAATTTTATCGCAAGTAGCTTCACTTTAAATATTTCAGTTCGTATTTTGGGAATATTCTGATTAAAATATGTCCGGTTCTTAAAAATAGTTTATCAATACGCGATATAAACGTAATAGTAGAATTATTCTTTTCAAGCAGCTTAAAAACATATGGACGTCGAACGTGATGCGAAAAATTAACGATGTTCCTTGAAATTTCATCGGTAGCCTAAAAATATTATAAACTGCTTCGCACATTGCGGCTAAATTTCTATTCGGATTTCTACTCGCAAAAATAGTTCATTTGCTCTCTTACAGTCTACAACGCTTAAATCAACAAAACTAACGTAACATTTACGTTACTCTTTCGCGAATCTATCTGTAAGAAAAGTTTGTATATGGATTTACATATATCAAATTTTCGACAGTCGGTATCCTCATTATCTTCAAATTCTCGAACTCATTCCTCTAATTGTCCGTACAATCTTCTGTTCAATCATCGCCATGCCATTTTCACTCATTTCGTCCGGAGACATTGTTCGCTCGTATCTCGACGATCGGACATGGAATCGCGAAAAGAGCCGAGCTTTCTGTATACCGAAAGAGATTTAGCGTCTAAAAACAACAAGCGACGCCGTTGTCAGTTTGCCAACATTCCATCGCGACCAACAGTTGCCAGTGCCGTACACGATCTTCGATTCGGGAAAACCTGCTTACCTGTTTTTACGCGCGAAGTTTCATATACGTCCGTTTATTCGTCGGAACGAAAATGATAACGGAAAGAAAGGAGGAGAAAGATAAAATAAAACGTTGGATGTGACGCGAAGCCAGATGAGCGTCGTAATTGAATCAATCAAAATATCGAGCAAAAGCGATCCGATAAACGCCACGACAGTCAATTTAATTAACGAGCTAAAATCAAGGCGACTGGCTTACGCGTGTTGCGATATCGAGCACAGATTTTTGGAGACTACGGTTAAGCGTATTGTCTATGTCCACATCGTCGACCAGACAATCTCGTAGAAATTCTTGCGTGGGGAGGGAGGGAAATTATTTCGTCCAAGGTAAATAGAAATATGGCAACTTCGAGTTTGCTAAGTGAAGTTTTACCATATTTCGGATTCCTTCCCATCGTGTGCTTTAGCTTACGAATATTTTTAATAATCTTTGAATTATGCGATGGCTTTTTGGGCAAATACTTGAATGCTTAATATCCACCATTTCTATATTATTAGGTTGTCCGAAAAGTTTCTTTCGTTTTATGAGGAAATAATAGACGCACAACGTTTTTAATATTATTTTGTCGAATTACGTACGATCCATTTTGTTCCGTTGAGATAAACACCGCGACATTTCACAGACTTGGTTTTATATTTGTACGAAGGTGCACTGTTGTAAAAAACACGTTTGCGAAAGAACGACACTTTCCGGACAACCTAATATATTATACAGGGGGGAAAGATATTTAGATCAAAGAAATATAAATATAAATAGAAGTCCTCAGTAGATTTGTAACGAGTTTGGAATTTTTCTAATCGTAAAATATGATACCGAAAGAAAAAGAACGATACTAATAAAATATACCGTCTTCGAATATTTTTATCAAATTTTATTCTTCGGTATAATAGTCCTCCAGATTCTTAAAATACAATATCAAACGAAAAAGAAAAGAAGGAAGAAAGAAACAAATATTTCGGGCACTCTGAGCTCTATATTTTAGTATCACTTAATATTTTCAATGATAATTCCATTTCATCGCTTTCCTATTGAATCTGTAAATGAATAATCCGAAATGTTTCTACATATTGGAACTGTGAAGTGACGATCTTTCACGTTCAAATAGACACACGTTCCTCTTCGGTTCCGTCACTTGTGTGCACAAGTTTCGCTTAGCAGACAGCGATTGATAAATTTAGTATCAAACGGATCGCCACCCGACCGGTGATGTATCGTACGCTCTATCATAAGCTTTATTGTCCCTATCAATCGATTCCTTGGCACAGATCCTAATATGTGTTCGCGTGACTCATCCCGCGTCTCGCGTGCGTATCACACCGCGCGAAACGTGTAAAAAGAGAGTCTGATTCACGGGGAATTATTTAACGTTGCTATATCGTAGGAATATTTATAACGAATGAAAATTTATCGTGGTAAATGAATTTTACTTCACCTTTAAAGGAGTCGAGATAAAACAGAAATATCATTATAGATTCGCTTGGTTACACTCGCTTTCTCCTTGTTTCCTTTCTTTCTTTTTACACAGAAGCGAGACATACATATTTCGTGTATTGCTTGGGATTTTCTTTTAAAACAACAGTTTATCGCTAATATTTTATACGATAGAATATACGATCAATCGATCTCTCTCGAGCTATGAGCGAACGTGAAGATTTGATTCGAACGTTTAAATTTTCACAATTACTATTACGATCTGTAACATGACTTCAAAGTTTAGCCACATAATTTGACGTCATGATGCATCGAATGCATCCAAATATATACTATATACAGGACATTTAAAAAAAAAAGACAGGATAAAATTTATACTACGTGTCAATAAGTTCAAGCGAGTAAAAAAAGTTCTGACAAACTCATGTCCGAAAATGCTTCGTTGAAAAGTTATATGGTTCAAAGACTTTCATCGATTGTTTTGATATAATAAATGTTCGGAATTTCTTTCTTCTGCCAGTATACAGGCTTCCATTCGTCCAACTAATCACTGTGACGAACTCTTTCGAATATTCCTGTTATTGTAGAAACAACAGTAAACGCATTTGTGTCTGCCTGCGATTCCGTATAGCGAGTCCTAAGAAACAACTTTCCCTTTCAACGCCTACAACTCTTCGATAAAACATTTTCGGACATAAGTTTGCATAAACTATTTTCACCTGATTAACTGGTAGTATAAGTTTTGCCCCAAGTATTCCGGACACCCTGTATTTAAAATTAATTAATACGACTGTATCTATTCCTACAATATTAGCGGAAATTATTAAAATGAGATAAAACGAGATTGTGCATTCATTTAGTGTACGTAACCGAACACGTCGATCGCATATTACGTTTTCAACGTCAACAGGTCAACTTTCGATTGAAAGTTCGGTCGTGGTTGTTTGCCTTGATGCTGCTCCACATTGCGTTCGATCGACGCCGGTAATCGAGCTTTAGAATTCGGGCGACGAGAGGAATTTTCGAGGGTCACGCTCAGAATGCAAGGGCGACGATCCACTCGCCAGGGGAAAAACCAAACACGAGCAAAAAGTTGTCTGTTCGCCTCGTCTTTGATCGTTTGACGACGTAATCTTCACATGGTCCTTCCAATTCCTCCAATTTATAGACAATTCAAGTTCCTTGCGATTTTGTTAAATCGTTAGATGTACAATTTTAATCGAGCGAAACGATCGTAGTTGATTATTGATTTTGTACCGTTGATCTGGTAATTAAGAGACAGTAATTGATACGATCGGATATGTTTGGCACAAGAATGTAGAAATGAGATTCGACGAGCAATTAAAGAAAATTTAAGATGTACGAATACGTCGCTTTTAAACGATTTGAATTAACGATACGCAAATATGATTAAAATGCGTGACTTATTATGAGAGTAATGATTAAAAGGAAGATATTGGATTAAAACTTGTTATCTTCCTATGGAATGAACACACGTGTATAAATAGAGTTTATAGATTTCAATTATTCGTTTAAAAAATTATTTGCAGTATACAGAAAATGATTCATACTCGATGTGTTAGCGGGATATACAAGTGTCACTGTTTGAATTAATTATAATGGCACTTCTCTACTAGTTCAGAAGTACCTTATATATCCGATCCTTAGATTAGAAACTGTATAATCTGCGGATTTACGCGACATCTATAAATTAGCAACCGTACAATCTCAACTTTATTATCAAACATTAATTTTCAGAAATTGGTTCGGCGTAATAAGTGGTAAGATCAATTTGTCTCTCCATAAGTCACTATATGCTTTTCGATATAAATAACGTTATAACCAATTGAAAGAAATTTAAATGAAATATTTTAGAAATATAAAATAACGAACAAGCGAACAAGTCAATTTATTAGTAAATTCATTTAAAATTGAACGAATAAATTAACAACTTAATAATGAAACGAATTTTGGAGCGAAGTGTTTGGAGATACATCACAATATGAAGAGGCAGAGCAACGAACATTTTTTCATCGAACTATGTCTTAAAATCGCGGCGCGTTTTCATCGTCCACGAACGTCACCGAGATAAGCAGATTGACGTCATAAGGTTCTCTTGGAGGCTCCGAGGTGAGCTTCGCGAGTTCTTTTCAATGGAATCTTACTGGCCGGCAGAGCGACAAATTCTTTCGTTGGATTGAAACTGGATGAAATTTCATCTCGTTTCAGATGACAGGATTGACGTCAATGAGTTGTAGAACTTCACGCAAATTCATAGCTTCAACTTCTATATTTCTCTTTACCGCGGAACGTTGATTATTATTCAGAAACCGATTATCCGGATTCCCACTTTGTCGAATGTTCAATCGGTTACCTTCATTTCCTCGCCATAGATTATCCTCGGACGTATGAACTGAAATTCTACTTTATTTTATATTATTCACTTAATTTTATAATATTATTATCGAGCA